CGGTTTGGCTCTTAGGAGACATCGACTCCTTTTCCGGATCCAAATGAGTCCCCTTTTCTATATCGTTAGCCAACGCTATCTCACCTATAAATTAGTACCAATTGTTGTAATATATTGCCAGACAATCCATAGTTAATGAATGCATACCTTCTTCTTCGTCGTCGTCCTCGTCTTCACTTTCGCTGATGTGAACCGAGACTTGATTTCCGGGATTTTTGGTCCATTCGAAGAGTAAACCGAAGCCAATATCATAGCTATCGGTAGAGAATTCCCAGAAAATACAAGTGCCGTCTCTATGTGTGGGCACCCGAACCGTAACGATCTCTCCGTGACCTACTTTGATGATACCGTCGCCGCCTTCAGACCTAATCGACTCTTTGAAGAGAGCGATATCCTTTCGGGTCCACATCGAGGCGCCGGCGATCGGACCAAAACTCTCGTCTTCCGAGTCGGTGTCTGAGCCCGTCGTCGGTTCCAAATGATTGTTGTGAAGGTCTTCGGCTGTCATCAACTTTGGCTCGAGTGCAACAGTTTGCGTGACTAATGTATTTGATTGCAAATAATTTGTCTCCCTTTCGCTGTTAACGAAATTATTTCTCGCATTATTCATGCTTTGGGTGTGAGTTCTGGAAACCTGTTGTTCCCTTAATTGTAGCAAATATTGCTGATAATGTTGTTCTTGTAATTGACTGATCAATTGGTTTTGTTGTTCAATATTCCCGGGATATTGTTGTTCGGCGTATGACTTAAATTGTTGAATCGTTTGTCTGTTCAGCGCTTCTTGTATCTGACGTCTGGTCAGCACAAAAATATCAATTCATTAGCAGTTTATCGATAAATATCCAAATCTCGTAAAACTATGGCTTAACTAACATTATATTAGAGTCTAAAAGTCATATTTAATTATTATTTATGGCATTATATATAAGATCAACATTTGTATCATATGTTTATAAATATTTGGTCTTAATTTTGAGGCAAACAGAGAGTAAAAGTGATGAAGAATTTGGACAAACAGTGAAAATTGTTTGCTTTTGTGGCACTAAAGCAGTCATACAGTAAAGAATGACATAATAAACAAAAACTAATTAACAGTATATAAAGGCCTTAAGTAATAAAAGACATCAAAAAAGATCTCATCATTAGATGCGCTAAAAATGGTAACCAATGCCTAAGAAATCATCGCTGAATGAATGGATCGATCATATGATGATAGAGTGCGACAACTGATGGCATAAGTGGTATCAATAGCTATATAGCACTTACTTCTGTTCCTCCACTTCTCGCATCTCTTCCTCTGATTTTCGCTTTAACTCCAATTCAAGTCTTTCTTTTTCTCTCACTTCTTGGATCCGCTTCTCCTCCAACTCTTGCGCTTCTCTTCTCTGTCTCTCCTTTTCGTCAAAATCTAATTTGAATGCCTTTACGTACGGCTCAAACAGTGGACACAATTGGTTCAAAAGTTGGACAAAACCTTTTTGTGCCGACTGTTTGTCTGTGTTTGTCAACGATATCCAAGAATTTCTGGTCACAAACAAAATGGGCGTAAATTACATATGACTCGGAGTGGGACTCAAACGAGTGGTGCAAACCTGCGGTCTTTGCCGACGATGTCAAGAGTGCCCAACGGTTTGGCTTTCGTTGCGTCAAAATTGCCGTATTTTTCTTGCAATATATAAGCCATGAATTGATTGCGTGTATCGTATGTCGGATGAAATGCTTTGCTATCATTGTCTGACAAAAAGCAATCAAGACATCAGTTAATGGGTGACAACATGTGTGACAATGGATGGCAAACCTCTGTAAAACTTGATGGCAATCCGAAAGAGTTGTGTCCAGTCGTGTAAACACCACTTCACCGCCAGATCCTCTTCTGGGGGCGAATCGGTGTCTCCGTTCACATCCACACCACTCTTGTCTTCGGCCACCGCTTTGTTTGGCTCATCCGTCGTTTGGCTCATAGTTTTGCCGTCAAATGAGTTGTCAATTGAATATTGGGATGAATTGAGTGATTAATACAGACATAGAGTGATAGAGAGTGAGAGTCGATGAGAGACAACACAACAGAAACACAGAATAGAGTGAAAAGGAGTGCAAATCATAACAAAACGCCAGAAATAGAGGCAAACATTGCAAACATTTTCATGCGTTTAAAGGCTAACAGATGTCAAGCAAAACAAGTGATGATAAAACACTTCCACGTCTTTAAACACTACATCGAGTCGTGATTTGCGCACAAAATACTATACAATACTATAC